TCCTCGGGAGTGGATAACGGTTCTTCACCGTTACCTTGTTCAACTCCCGGTAGTCTATACACATACAATGCAACCCATCCTTCTTCACTAACAAGATCGGGGCTCCCCATGGCGAACTACTCGGTCTAATGAAACCCTTGTCTAGCAGCTCCTGCAGTTGCGTAGACAACTTCTGCATCTATGGAGGAGCCAACCGATATGGTGCCTTGGCTATCGGAGCCGCACCAGGAACCAGGTCAATCCTGAACTCAACCTGTCTCTCCGGAGGTATCCCAGGCAGTTCCTCCGGGAACACGTTCGGGTAGTCTCGCACCACTGCCACATCATCTATTGACAACATACCTTTATCCCGGATATCCATCACATATGCAACATAACCTGCGCAACCCTGCTGGAAGTAGCGCCTCGCTTTCGCTGCTGAAAAAAGAATCGGTCCGCGCTATGGCCTCTCGCCCTGAATCACTAACTCTCCCCCGCTGGGAGTGCGAACCCTCACTAGCTGCAACTTGCAATCAATCACCACCCCATTGGGGCTTAGCCAATCCATGCCTACTATGACCTTGTTCCCTCGCAAAGGAATAGGGACCAGGTCCACCGAAAACTGCTCATCAAATAACTGCAGCGAGCATGCCTTATGCACCCTCGCGACCCTGACGGTCCTATCATCAGCTATCTCCACCTCAAGTGGACAATCCAGCTCCCTAGGAGCTTTGCTAAACCTCTTGCTAAGCGCAAGGGAGACAAACGATCGGGTAGCCCCCGAATCAAACAACACTACAGCTAAAATGTCGTTCACTAAGAACGACCCTATACACAAACATATAACCTTAGAAACAATTAATAATAAATGCAGAGATAAAAAGGAAACTATGTACCCATCACCACTCCAGGAGTCACTCGCGCCTCCTTTGTTGTCATCTGAAAAGCTCTACTCTTCGCTAATGGTGCCTCAGCCCGGCCCTGACGACCGTCTATAATCCTCAATGTAGCAGGGGCAGGTGCTGACACCTTCCCTGTTGCTGCTAAGCTCGGGCACTGGGACTTTTATGTCCCCTTTGATTGCAATAGAAGCAAATAAGATCTGATGCTGTGGTGGCGGTGGTAGAAGCTATACAATCTCTGCTCATATGCCTAGTCCGACCACACTTGTAGTAGCCGGAACTCCCTGTCTTGCACGCCCCATCGTGCAATCTCCTACATTTGCCACACCGACTATGGCTCTGCTGACCTCTGGACCTATGATCTGAAACCTTGGGCTTCTTGCCCAAACTCCTTGTACCCGAAGCCGCCTCGTGTTTCCTCTTCTTCTCCATCTCAAGATCAATCTCTCTCTCTCTCTCTCTCTCTCTCTCTCTCCCTCGCAGTCATATCATCCAACATCTTGCAGATGGATCCGCTCACAAACTGGCGGATATCACTCCGCAACATCTCATGATAACAGGCCTTCTTCATTTCCTCGGCAGCTACGTACTGAGGAACAAGAAGAGCCCTTTCCCTGAACTTGGTGGTGATCTCTGCCACTGTCTCTGTCGTCTGAGTAAGGTCCTGGAACTCTCTGGATAACTGTTGCACCTCAATAACCGGTGCGAACTCGGCTCTGAACCTGGTGGTAAAATCAGCCCAAGTCATAGTATCAAGTGCTGAGTCATCCCCAATACCGTGCCCAACCTCCTACCACCAGTCATGGAGACAGGATGCTAATCTGTCCTTGTCCCCCTCGGGACATCTGCTAGTGCGAAACGCGTTGGCAATATCTGCCAACCACCTAGTACTCGCAATGGGGTCTCTCACCCCATGGTAGTCTGGAGCTCCACAAGCTCGGAACTCCCTGAATGTGAGTGTGTGTGACCCCATCATGGCGGCCATCTCAGCACGAAATGTGCTCAACTTCTCATCCATCAACTCCAAGATACCCTCCTTGATCGAACCGAAGATTACAAGAGTCTGCTTAAGTATGATACGGGTAAACTATGAAGTGAATAACTCCCTAGTCTTCTCATCTAACTGCTCGGCCTCCGAGCTTGATCCTGATTCCTCCCCGGCACCTGAGCTGCCGATTGCTGGCCTAGGGCGCAAAACCACCATTCTGAAACACATCATGATAAACATCAGAAACACTAATATATCTCGAGGGTTCGCACTACTACAGGTTTCCTGGTCTCGCCTCGGCCTTCCTTGATTCAAGTACAGATCCTCTTCTTCCAATAGTATGGGCCCCTACTACCTTCCACATGTATCCGCACTTTCCTCAAGAACCGCCTCGACTCCACCAAGTCACTACTACGGCTACTGATCTCTGCTACTCTCATCCTAGGCATACCCTAGGGGAAATCTCTGACTCAACAAAAACCAGTCCTTAGCAGCCGAAGGCCTCCTCGTAATGCCAATTAGTCATCACATGAATACCATCACATATGATGAGGCTCAAATAATCCTTCGAGTAAAAGAGTCATCCCCCACTACAAGAAAAAGACCCTTTTACGACGCGCAAACCATGACACTCATTGATTTATGTTACGTAAAAGAGAGTGACATTAACAAAGTGTCATCTCTTCAAAAAGTTTAAGGATTTACGTCACGCATTATTGTGTGCCCTTAAATTAATGTCTCATGTAAAAAATTAAAAAAACACGGAGGGCACTTTATCTAATGTCGTTTTATATTTTTTTTAAGAAACGCGCGTCTCCTTAGAGGAAAATGAAATCCCCAAATTTTTTAAACCCCGCCTTCTTCTCCCTCGTCTCCACCCCTCACCCACATCCACTGCCTCCAATCCTCATTGTCTCTTCTAGCCTCAGACTGCTGCGATGCATCTTCCTTCTCGAAGAACTACCAAGAACCCTAATAGACTTGGGACAAATTTTTGATCATTCCTCCTCGATCTATTGAGTCGATCGAACCTACCAACACCTTATCTCCTACTAATACTCTCCTATTAATCTTCTTCAACAAATCCCCCCCCCCACACACACACAAAAAAAAAAAAACTCAACTCCAAGTCCTCGTCTTCCTCCGAAGATGAGAATTTCTCCGATTCAACCACCACACACATAAAACTAGCTTGAGTGGAGGCGATTTTTCCGATGGCTTGGTCCGAAGAGAGATGGAGCTTATCGGTGGAGGTGAGAGACGGTGATATCACTCCTTATAAAGGCTTTCTCAAAAATCGTTTTTTCTTCACTTTGCTTCTTACATTCTCCAATCTTCTTCAAATAAGTCTCCCCTCATTTCCTCATCTTCTACAAAACCCTTTTTGTGTTTTGATCTTTATACAAACATGGATACCCAAGATTAGAGCAAAATCACCACCTCTTCAGGTTTTCTCTTCGTTAATTTATGAAATAGTTATTATATTTCTTATTTTGAATTCAATTACTGTTACGAAAATGACATATTTTAATGGTGGTTTGCTATTTTACTTCGATTTTGCAGGGCATATTTTCCATAGATGTGGATGGTCGTTTCAAAAGTCACACCCTAGTTCTAAACATAGGCGAGCACATAAGAAAATCTGTGGAACTATTGAAGGGTATCCTAAGCTAATTGATTCAGAAGTTGTTTCAGACGACAATGCACCGGTTTCTAGAAATCGGAGGAGGGACTGAGAGAATTTGTGGCTTCCTTCGGTTTCTCTTTTGATTATGGTAATGCTAATATTCAGTTTCTCCTCTTTAGATTTCTTTTTCACACATTTGTTCCCATTTGATTTTATGATTTCAGATTTCTTCCTATGATTTTGATTTTAGATTGAGATTTAGAATTCTCAATCTTCGGTTTCTCTTTCAGAAGCTTTGTAATCTTGTGATGGTTGCTGGAGGTGTTTTGTTATGGTTATTTGATAAGTGTTCTAGAAAGAAAGGGATTTGAGAAGCGCACTACGTGTGTTCGATGAAATGCTTGAGAGAGCATTGGCTATTGGATAGGCCTATTTGCACCTCAAGGACTGAAGTTAGAAGGAATGATGGCATTGGTGTAAAGATGCATTTGATGGAATAGGAGAGAGAAAGGGATCCACAACTATTTATTCCACTTGGAAAGATTATCAGGTAATTTGATTTCCTCATTTTCCCTTTTCACATATATGCTACTGCTTTGGAGACGTACTTGATAACCGATATGAATTTCTAGCAGCACATGGTAAATGTGTTTTTTTTCAACAGTTGTTCGTGAAAAAGATCTAAAATCCAGAGCCACTGATCTAGGAGAAGTGGCAATAAAAATCATATGCAACATTGACAAAATGTAAGCAATTTGACTTTGGTCAATCAGTCAATGAGTATACAAAATTATGGTTTTGTGAACTAATGTATAAAACTGGATTGGAAGAAATGGTATACTGAAGAAGTAAAGAATTTTGGTCATAATATTGTCTTAAACTAAGTGCTTTCTATGTTTTTTATATTACATTTGCATGTGTTTTTTTTTTTTTTGAAATATTCAATTATGAAACATTTTATTTTAATGCATATCAATACCCATATGAAAATGTTGATCTATTTTCTAATAATTGGGGTTATGTTTTGGTTATAGGTGTTGTATGTATTAATCTGATGGCTTAACACAATCAGATAGAGCATTAGATGGGGTATAGTAAAGTCAATCGGGGTTAAATCAACTTAATATATTCTAATAAGTAAAAAAAGCAGATAAAGCATTAAAAGGCATTATCATCCCAACAATGACAGAAGGTTAGTCATTCAATTGTTTTGTTATGTATAGATTGTCTTTTTTTTTAACACACAGTGTAAGATGGTCATTTGTATTATGTCCGCCAAGTGTTCGATGTAATGCCAATGTCAACACCTATTTTATTGTTTTTCCAGCCTAAATATATTTCATCTATTGCAGTTCATGGGTATTGACCAATAATGTAATTCATAAAGTCATTTTTGCAATAGTTAAAATAAAAGAACATGAAAACATGGTTGTGGTTGACATGTAGGAGATCTTCCAAGTTGAATGGGATCCAAACCATAAAATTTTGATCGTCTCTTCTGTTGATGACAAAAGGCTGGATAAAGGGTATGATGGAGTTTTTGATCAATCATTCTCATCCTGTCCATATTCAAAACCCTAAATAAGTTATGGATTAAGTGTATGAATGGAGTTTTTGATCAAGATGAAGGTCATGAATGCCATGAATTTTTGGATGAAGTCCATGAATGTTTGATCTGGATCGCTGGTGTTGCTGATGAAAATATTCTGGATATGCATTTAAAAAGGATTCTAGAGAATGTGAAATTGTTGTACCTTTTTTAAAGAGAAAGGAGGTGGGATGCTAGTCAGAACTGGGAAGACATCTTGTCTATTGGTGAACAACAAAGATTAGGCATGGTGAGCTTCCACCACATCATTATCATATGTATTAATTACTACGGCTATTGTATTCTTTTTTTTTTCAAGGCTCACTTATTCTTTCACAAGCCTCGGTTTGGTGTCCTAGATGAATGAACCAAGTAAGCTAAGCTATCCTCATGTTTATCAAGAATTTGAATTAATGCCATATCATGTTTGTTTCAGTGCTACAAGTGTGGACGTTGAAGAGCACCTTTATCGGCTTGCACGTGACATGGGCATCACAATTATTACATCTTCACAGGTACCTACCTACCTACGCATCTTACTTCTTAACTCACTACTCTCATTTTTATTCACAAAAAAGTTACCCTTTTAATCGCTTTTCTTGCTGCCTCCTTGCTTCTCAACGTCCTGCATTAATATCATTCCACTCATTAATTAATTTAAATAATATATATAATCAAAACCGAAAAAAAGTAAAATTGTGGGCTTTGTCATCGGACCAATTTCCACGGATATGCTGGTTTAGTTTAAAAGAATTTGAAAATGACCATTTTGCCCTTATATCTATTTGGCACGTGACTAACCTTGTGGGCTTTGTCATCGGACCATCAGGCATAAGTTAGCGAAAATCTATATTTCTTCAGACAGAAGGTTTCTATTTCTATTTCTGTTTTCCCCATATTTTTGCACATATCTACTCTGGAGTTGATAAAATCAAATTTTGTTTTCTTTTTCTAGGACTACCCACTCTTTTTGGCTTGCTTGTAACATTTTATGTGGGAACGAAGGTAAAAAAACCATCAATATTCTACACCCTCAAAGGCCCACCATTCTTTTTTAGCGTTTGATTTCGGGCAAAATTGTAATTTTTTGGTAGAATTCAAGTGGTACCCTGCTGCTGCTGCTGCCATGTTTCCAGCTTATTATGAGTTCATACTTTTCCCTTTTGGGGTGGGCCCGCACCAGCAGCTAAAACAGAGTCTCATCAGTTTCTTAAACCCACAACAGTCCACTCTAATACCCCCATCAATTTGGATCAGCTTGATCCAAATTTATATGAAGTATGCAAAGTCATAGCCATCAGCAACACGTTCCTTTTTTATCTGACTTCACTAGGTAATGTAGTTTCATATACTTCATAGAATGTTTGTATTAGATTTAGTGTATATGGTTACATACTCATATTTTTGTGTTTTTCTCATTTAAGCCATAAAATTTTACTATTTTGGTTTTATTTCCAGCCATTGACCATATATCAAGCAATTCAAATTGCTTCTGTGAATAGTTGATCCTTGAAACTACTGATGAACTATGCATACACTACCTAGGTATTTTTATCACTTTTAAAACCTGATTAGCTTATTGCATATAGATTTTTTTGGACCTGCTATTCCACATGCATATAGAGTTTGTTGGTAGGTTCTAGTAACAATCAGAATATTGACACCTTTATATGTAGTGTGTATTTAAATAGTGATTTGTATGATCTTGTAGGACCTAGATGCATTCATTGCAGCTATTATTGTGAGTATTGCCTTCTCTTTCATTCCTGCCTCGTTAGTTGTTGCTATTATGAAGGTAGGCCACTCTCTGGTTGTATTTTTCACATAATTGACAAGGAGTTGTTGTATCTATTCAGACTAGGCTTAGAGCAATGATTGCAAGAGATGAGTTCAGAAGTAGAAGAAACAAGGCTGCAACTATAGTTCAGGTAGTATGGATGAATTATGTTTGTAAAGTATTTAAGAAAATGATTAGAAACAAGGGTGAATTTGTACAGATTAGTTAGCTACTTGCAGGTTGATCTTGAATAAGCGAAGGGGCAATGGATTGTATTTTTTGTATCTAATTTGTTTGTAAATTTTTGTTAGAACTTCTATTGATTTGTTTTATCTTTCTATGGAACGATTATTTGTATGACATTAAATTTATGCAATGGATTCTATTTTTTGTATATGATATTTTATTTTCAATTATGAAACATTAAATACAAATTTAATTTGAAAATAAGTAAATCTATAAATAATTTTTTTTAAACATTTCAAATTATGATACGCAAAAATGTGTGTCATCTTCATTTATGACATGGCCTTTCTTGACAGGGGCTTTTTTGATACGCATTGCGTTTATTTAACATGCGCGTCGTAAGGTTACAACACGCGAATGCATGCCATCTTCCTTTATGATAGGGCCTTCCTTGATACGCATTGCGTGTCGTAAACACGCGTCGTAATTGCGCGTCGTAATTGAGCGTCGTCTATAGACGACACGCAAAAGCGCGTCGTCTCTCTTTATGACAGGGCCTTCCTTGATGCGCATTTGCGCGTCGTCTGAGCCTTTTACGACGCGCAATGAGCGTCGTAAAAGGCTGTTTTTCTAGTAGTGCCCACAACGGTTGGACTCAAACAAGAGTTGCGCAGTAGGACCAAATCCAGCACTCTGAGATTATTCAACCCTGATCTCATGTGATGTGTTGTATTCACCTAATAACTAACTCCCATCACTCGGAGTCCCACGAAGCACAAAGCAAGCAACATTCGGACACAGAAACTAATCAAGTAACTCTATTCAGATAACAAGAACAATATTAGCATACAATGCTAAGCTCTTACTATCAGGCATAGCCTAAACAGGCTATCCTACTGATGTCTACTCAATACTAGCATGCAATTATCATAAAGCTGAAACACATATAGCAGACACATAAGGCATCCTCCTAGATCCTTAGTCCTATTCTAGCATGCTGTTCTACTGAAAATAAAACTAATAATTATAACATAAGCTTGTATGGGTAATTTGGGAGTACTTACTTGAGCTCGGTTGATCGCATGCACCACACCCTTTTTCTCATTTTCAAAACTCTTTTCTTTTCAATCTCTTTCTCAAAGTTCTTTTGAAAATATTTTTCTTTCAAAAATCTTTTTACTATTTCCTTAGTTTGAGTTTAGTCACACCCGTAAGTGTGCTTGAATCCCTTAAACCAAGGCTCTGATACCAACTTGTAACAACCCAAAATACGACCCAAATTTTTTTGTTTAAATAATGCTAAAACCATAACATCGAATACCATAAAGTAAAAACCATACGTCAATATCTCAAAACCATAATAAAGTGTCGTGATAAAAAAAACTGTATCAAACTGCATCAAATCATATCTAAGAAAAACTAAACCAACTCCAAGGATAAAACTGAAGCTGTGGTGTGTGCGATGCCATCATCCCGATCCCTTCCCTTTGCTTGCGGAAGTACCTGAAACCAAAACTGAAACTGTAAGCACGAAGCTTATTGAGCTCCCCAAGACTACCACATACCATACAATCAGATAAACACATATTGGGCCTTGCCCAGTGCATCGGACGGAAGTCTGGAAACTGCATCGGACCGAAGTCCGAAACTAACCAGGACCTTGCCCTCTGCATCAGACCGAAATCCGTAAACTGCATCGGACCAAAGTCCGGAACTGACTAGGACCTTGTCCCCTGCATAGGACCGAAGTCCAGAACTAACTGCATCGGTTCGAAATACGGAATTGACTGGGACCTTGTCCCCTGCATTGGACCGAAGTCCGGAAACTGACTAAGCATAACATTGCATAGCATAAACATATCAAGTAGCATAAACACATATACTGCATACTGCATCGAACCGAAGTCCGGAAAACATAATACAAAGACATGCTTGAATCACAAAGACATCAAGCACACTGAACTACTACCTCAGATCAAAGTCCGTAACTACTGCTAACTAAACGGGTCGGCATTGTGGCCGTAGACCCGTTCCTACTAGAAGGAAAACTCACCTCAAAAGCTAGCTGCAGAAACTCTACTCGGGAACTATCTGCTGCTGCTCTAGTCTCTCCCGGCTACAATTCCCATAAACACACTCAATCAACTACTGATAACTATACTTAGGGTAAAATGACTATTTTACCCCTGGTCAAAGTCAACTTCCAATTGACCGGTACTCACCGAGTCAGGGCGCAGACTCGCCGAGTCCTTCCTTTACTAATTCTGAGTTTAACTCACCGAGCCCCTTCCCACTCACTGATTCACTCTGAACTCACAACTCAAAGGGAAAACAAGGACTCGCGACTCGACTCGTCGAGTCCGAAGAACAACTCGCCGAGTCCAAACACAGATTCCATGCAATCAAATTCTAATCCATTACAGGGCCTCTAACTGGTAGATCTGAGCACTTGGGACCATCTGAACATGTAAATTTGCTGACTTTACGTGTAACTACAAAGGAATGAATCCATTTCACTCAAACACTACTTTTCTCGGGAAAACTCATCCGACTCGCCTAGTTGTAGAACAACTCGTCGAGTCTAAGGCAATCTTCATAGGACTCGCTGAGTTGCTCATCCAACTCGTCGAATTTAAGGCTATCTTCATATGACTTGCCGAGTCAAGCTTGTGACTCGCCGAGTCCATTCAGTCCCTTATCCATACAGGCCTAATTTGAGCCATGCAACGGCTCTAAGTCACAGATCCATGCTTCTAGGGCATGCTTATCACATAAAGTTGCAAACTTTACATGCATGCATGGCTTTAAGGGCTTCAAATTCCAACCCTAAGTTCTTAATGGGGTTCCAAGCTCAAGAGGGACTTCAATCACGACCTTAACTTAAACTTTACACTTCTAGAATGCAATAAGAGTCCAGATCTGAAGTTTTCATCCAAAGAGAGTCCATATCTCAAGTTTTGAATCATAAAAGGCTCCAAAGAAGGCATAACAAGCATAAAGGAGGTTATAATGGAGGAATGCACAATGTTATAACTTCATTACCTGAATGAAGAACAGATGTAAGCTAACTCCTGGATCTTCCTTCCCTTCAATGGACCTTCTTTACTTTCCAAAGCTTCCAAGCTATCACAAACACACTCAAACTCAACAATGGGGCAAGGGTTTACAGGGGGAATGCTCTGAGAGTGATAGAGGCGAGGTTGAGGGCACATAAGTGTGTTTGCATAGGGTGCAAACTCTTAAAATTAAGGCTCCATCCAGAAAGGCGGACTCGCCAAGTCCAGCCTAATGACTCGTCGAGTAACCAGCTCAAAACGCGTGATCGTCCCGCCTCTACTCGACGAGTCGGGCTAAAGACTCATCGAGTACCTTTTCATAAAAGAAAATACTTTATTTGAATTACATACTAGAAATGGGGTGTTACATTCTATCCAACTGAAACTTGGGTGATGAGAATCTTTCCTTATCTGCTAAATTATGACACTACCACAAACGAAAGAATCAAGTCCATTTTCCAATATTGCTATCAAATGGAATCATATAAATGATAATTTTTTTTCACAAATGTCATTGTAAGGATACTTCAAAATAAATAAAATCAAAACTTTTTCTTTTATTTTACAACTTATGGAAAAACTTATCCTTACAATTCAAATACATATGAAAAACATGTTGTTATATATTCCTAAGCAATGTATCATAACTCTTTAAGCAGCAGCTCAAAATTCTGATCATCGAACCATGCGATCGAAATCCATCTATTGCAATTAGAATCAACTTAGTCTTTCTTTAAGCTTCCTTACTTTTCTTTGATTTACAAAACATCAAAATGTAATTACATTACATCATGTGTCAAGAATCTCCAAATAAGAACTTAATAGAGTTAGATAGTGGACTTTACCATAAGTAAAGTCAAACCTTTTGGCTTTACCATCCTTATGATCTTTCAGGTAAAATGGGCAGTTTCGCAACCAATCTCCATTCTTTTGGCAATAGAAACATATGGACTCTTTGGAAATGGTGCATGAGACTATCTCATAATTAGCCTTTCTCTTTACCATTAGGTCAGATGACTTGACCATGGCCGATCCCTTTCCATTAGGAAGACAAAGCTTTTCTGGACTTTTAATGTTACCATTACCAATGTCCATGGAAGCATGGGAAGTAGATCTTCCAATCAAATTTGCTTTACCAGTGCTCCAAATCATTCTTGATTCAGTAGCATCAAGCAAATAGGTAAGATCATTAAGGGCCATGTCATAGTCTGTTACATAGTAGTCCTTAAAGAAATCACTATGCGACTTAGAAAGTGATTGAAAAACCCAATCAACAGTCAACTTCCTTAAGACCTTGACACCCATTCTCCCGGCTTGCCAATATGAGACTTAATCTCCAAGATGTAAGCACATATAGAGTTTACTTGCAAAATAGGGATTGAGTGACCTTGAACTTATGGGCCAGGGAGAATTATTGGAGGAGGTGGAGGAAGTGAAGTATGATGTCTAGTCCTATTAATGCACAACTAGGGATTGATCTTTCACCTTGATTGCCATTTGGGATATCATCTTATTCAAGAAAGCTCTATCCAAAAGGATGAGGAAGACCATAGTTGTCTAAACTTAGACATCTATGAGGGAGAAATTCAAGTTTCAATTGATTTAAGTCCTTAACATAACACCCAATATGAAATATTAAGGCTGGGACCCAACAAACTATTTTATAACTTGGAAGAGGGATGCCGTAATCCAAGCTACAAAATATTTGAAGGTAGGTAAATGACGATTTACCAATTTCCACCATGAAAAACAAAATAAATTATTAAGTTTTAATTGGATTTGAAACTCCTAGATCTTTTGAGATTCATTAAACTTTCAATGGCATGTTTAAATCTTGATTGTGCCTTCTCAAGTTTGTGACTGGGATGTTGAGGATCACAAACAAGGTGTGAATAACCATGCAAATTGACTGGGTACCCTTAATTTTATCACCCAATCGATGTCCCGGTTAACCATATGCGCTCCACCGATCTATGATAAAACTTAAGTCACCCTTTTCCACACATTGTCAGTCCCATGTTAGTGTGCCGGTTAACCACACATGCTCCACTAACGACTCAACAAGGTGCATAGTGTAATTTCAAGGGTTAGCATCATTTCACAT